AAGGGCACCTCAATAACCTGTACACAAACATGCATTAATTCTTGACCTCTTACGTATTGGAACTAAGGTAAGCTTCAAGATGAAATAGAGTTTATGCAACCTCATACCCTTGATTCGTGTTACGCACCCACAATCCAAGGACAGGACTCTACACTAACTCTAACAACTCTGGTGATAGACAAAAAAATTCCTAAGACTCAGGTAAACCTAGGGCTTGGATACCAAGTCTGTAATGACCGAATCCCCAATCGCTATAGGCATTCAAGACTTTCAAGAGAACCTGCCAAGTCCCGAACAAACCTTGTTAAGAACTCTTATTAATTCTATAGTTCCACCATTTCGTTGAATTACTTTGAATCGAATAGTCCTTTGTAATATGATTTAAAACTATAGTAATAATATATTGACTTAACTTTTACTCATCACATTTGTAAGAATCCATTAAGGTCTATAATATCCAACTCCATAATTACAATGACACTATTTACATTTACATCACGCTATAAAGGACTCAAGCTCTAGCAGCGGAGTGACTTGAAATAAGGAGTTATGAGATGCTTTTACCTATTTGGGGTAGGAAATATGCATCGATGAACGCACGCTAGGCTGTTCATTATTTACAAAAGGGGAAATAAGAGGGTGAGTCTCACAGACTCAGTGATCATCGGTTTCGTGAGCAAGGCGTAGATAGGAAACAAGCATTAGGCAGATAAATTTGAATGATAAAACTGAAATAAGCATAATAATCTTTAAAAAAAATCAAATTACCAATAGAGTGTTTGTGCCTTATAAATATGAAGCCGTAAAATCATAATGCAATATTTCACTAAGCAAAACAGTGTCAAAAACAAGTTTAGTAAAATAATTATCAATCATCGAAAACGTCACTTGCCATAAAAATGTGAATAATAGTATAAAAGTATGCATGCTCCCAAAATGCATGGCATGTAAAGAAACCAAAGTGTACAGCCACATAAACCATCTCATGATCATCAAGTAAGCATTGAAAGCTTTTATTCAATTAAAGAGAGCTGTAGAGAAATCTTAACTCTCCACCATGCAAAAGAGTATGCATCGAAAACTCACAAGGCTTTCGAGTAGGTAAGTATCGCTGGACATCTATGTTGATAAAAAGAGACTTTATGTTTTACTATCACTCTTTTATTTATTATTAATTCTTTTTAAATAAAGATGGATAATAATAAAATAAGAATTATATTCAACAAGGAGTTTTATTTTATCAAGAACTCTAAATGATAATTAAAGAACTAAATTATTTATTCTTTAATTTTAATTTTGATCATTATAGAGCATGTTTAATGTTTCCATAACTTTAAATGGATGGTCAAGATTGATTCAAAGATATTTAATATTGATTAAACTTTTGAGGCTAGAGTTTTAATGAACAGAGAAGAGATTGGAAAAAATGTATGTATTTTTCTTGAAAGGGTTTTAGCCGTCAGTTGTCTCCTTTTCCTTCTAACTTTGCCGTATTTCTCTTCCTCTCTCCCATTCTTGGTTGAATTTTTGACAAAAAAATAGCCATTAATTTTAGGGTGAAAAGGGAGACAAAATTGGCTGCCATCTTATAGTTTAGCATTCCACACCTGGACTACTCAAGATTCAAGTTGAAAGTATTCTTAAAGAATAAGTGGTAAACTTGTTTGGTTAAGAAATCAATCATTGGTGTGGTGTTCGAAAATAAGAATCTCAAAATAAAAGGAACGTTTTTTCTTACTTAATAGATACTTATATTTTTAAGATGTGATTATGTTACTTATAGTAAGAATGATATGTGTTTTCTTGTGTAATTGGATTGCTTGCTTGCTTTCTTTATAAAAGAAAATTTTGAAACCCATACTTTACATAATCACATTAATCCACTTATATCCAACTCCAATAATTGGTATTAGAGTAAGGATTATTATAAATTTTGTTTCCTATATCTATTTTACATGGTTGGTACCTTTGCATATATTTAATTATTTTGATGTGATCAATGTATAGTTGTATGTTGTGATGCATGATTCAAGGTTTTTGCCACATTAATGTCCTAAAAAATTGTACATGTAACCTTCTTTTTTTCTTTTGGCTATATAACAAGAAGGGTGGCTATCAATGCCATGTTTCTTTCTTGATGTTTTTATTTTTCATAAATTTATGTAATTATGCAAAGCAATATAATTTGAGTATTACTTGATATATTTGGTGCATCCATGGAGAAAGAAGTTGAAAGCCAAAGGAAAAAGGTAATTAGGTAATATTTTGTCTCTTTATTTTTTCTATGGTTATTAATATTTTTTTAAGAAAACAGAGTTTTTCTTGTATTTTTTTTTGAAAAAAAGAGAGTTATTCTTATATTAAAATTCTGTTATTATAAAAAATATTTTTTTTCTT